ATGCACTTGCGAGAATCGCAACTGACGCGCTTCCTTGCGTTTCTCCGTTGATGCAGAATGGATATTGGGACTTCGTCTCAGAGTAGGAAGTCCTCAGCGCCGGATATCGATCTAATATCTTTGCCGAAGAACATTTGGAAAGACATTGGACGCTCTGGTCTGGACCGTGACTACCTGCACCTCGAAGATGATGTTACCCCTGACGGGGAAATCCCTTCGTGGCAAAGTGCAAAAGAAGGACAACTTCGGATTTGCCATGATGTAGGGTCAAACTTTTGGTGCCTGTAAACTCTGATAAAGGATGTACGGGCATGCCCTATCAGGTTGGAGTCACTTCTGAAGAGGGAACCCGTTGAAGAGGAACCCGTCCAAACTTCTAAGATGGTTGAAGCATGACACATTTTATGTGAGAAACTTAAGTGGGCGTCGTTGGACAAGTTGCATAAAAAACTGTGTGCCTGGTTTTGCCTCGGCCAACCGACGAAGTCGGCACCAATGATTATAGACTACTTCGGTCGAGCGACGGTGTGTAATCGAGGCACCACCGTCGTGACGCTCTTCACTGCCGTGAGGATGGACGGTCGACGAATGAGATCTTTTTTTCTCGCTAGGAAGGAATTTCACGGTGTCAAGCTCACTTCTTTTCAAGCGTTTCACACATCCGGCCCTACTGGTTCCCTTGCACGGTTCAAAAACAGGCTCGCCATAGATCAAGCACTTAAAGATGAGCTGCATTTGCGGGTCGACTATTTGGTGCACCAACAACTTCACTACCTCTTCGATAGCTGCGACGAAATAAATTTCACAGTCAAATATAGGGACAACGAATTGCGATTTGTTTACCACCATCTGGATTATTCAGCCTCCGGACCTCAGGAAGTGACTCTGCGCAACTGGAAGACAAGATATCTGTGCGACTGCCCTATCTGCGATGCTGGACATCTACATCTTCACTAGCGACGTTCTGAATTAGTTGCTTCGTGTTTTCTCTAGTGCGATTAGACTCGCACTATGCTTACAGCCTGTTGAATTCCATGTTCACGACCTTACTTATCTCTCGTTCATCATGTCCCGTCCCCTTCGGTATACCCCGTTGCATGACAAACTGTCTATCTAATTACGAATTCATTCGCACTTTGCCAACATCAGACGGTCTCAACTTCGCCGTTTACCCACCTCTCCGTATATGACAAGGGCGCTGTTCTTTTTTCTGATGCAGGACGTTGTCTAAAAGTTTCAGTGGGATGGTCGTTGTCAGAGACCTCGGCTATTGCAAAAGTCTGTGAAGTGCAGTTGTTGCCGCAGCTGAGAATATTTAATCGTTTAGAGTGGTTTGGCAACATTGGGCTTCCCAGATACCGATACCTTCCGGTCACCGAAGACGTTCGCGCTCGTGTCCAACCGTCTGTTTCGCCCCCGCCTACCCCAACTTTTCAGTACATTGTGATGGCCACGCTACGCGACAGGCCCGTCTTCAGAATTGATTTCTACATTTCGTCCGAGGGGGAGTTGAGAAGCTGTTTGTATTATTCGTACGTAACCAGCACATCTTTCGATAGAATGCCAGAAGGTTGTGAGTCTGTCATTACGTTTTTCTTATCGATCTTCATCATGCATATCGCCTCGTGCTTGGATGGAGAATTATTCCTTGTATCTGACGTGAGAGAAGATGATGACAGTCCCCCGTTCTGGGGAGACCGTTGTCCGTTCCAAATCCGTCATTGGAACAATTTGAATCGAGACAGTCCCCCGTTTTGTAGATCTTCATCATATGGCTTGTGGCGAAGAGGGGGAGTGATATAGACTGTACGGAAGCGTCTTATAGGGCATGTCATGTAGACTATAGGGTCAAACTTTTGGAATGATTTTTGGAATGCCTACATGTGTCTTGGAACGTGTCCTTGAATGATTTTTGGAAAGGCTCCATGTACTTTGTGAATTTTGGAAAGCTTCCGTGTACTTTGCAATTTTGTATTGAATTGTTTTTGAAAACGCCTTAGTGTACTTTGCAATTTGCCATTGAATGATTTTTTTGCATTGAATGATTTCTATAAACTCTCCTTGTGGTGTGCAACTTCACCTTTTAGAAATACACTAGGTAACTTGAAGGCGATGACAAGAGTTACTTATAGGAACCTGACACAAAGATTTGATGGCATTCTCACCGGGTAATATGCAAATGAGAAGCCAACGTCCATATTTGCAAATGTATCTTCTCCACACAAAGATTTGATGACATTTTCACTGGCTAATATGCAAATGAGAACCCAACGTCCATATTTGCTTATAAGAACCTGACACCGGGTAATATGTCAACCTCCATATTTGCTTAAGGTAATAATTTCGACAAACCATCTATTTTCGCGATGACAAGAGCTACTTATAGGAATGGATATGTATCTTCTCCACGCAAAGATTTGATGACATTTTCACCGTATAATATGCAATTGACAGACCAACGTCCATATTAAATCGACGCGTTGATGGTGTGCGCACCTGC